GGGACCCTCTATCGCCTCTGCGTAAGAGCGCGGAGTCGGGATGTCTGGTGCATCCCGGTCTCCCTCACGGGCAATCAGCATGGACACGAGATGAGGTAAAGCAGCAGCAAAGCACTGGAACTCCCCCTGCCTATCCTCAAGAACGTCCGTGCCAAGAGCACACTCACCCCGGACGGATGGAGGACAGACAGACTCAGACGCAGCAACAAGACTAGCAGCGTAGTCTAGACGACAGCGAGAAGAAAAGTCGACAAGCTCAGCAACTAAGGCAGACGCAGCAGTGGACTCAAAGGGTCAGTGACAATAGTAGCAAAGAGACGTGTGACAGTAGGATTGGCAGCATGAAGGGATTCCGTTTCCGGGTCAAGAAGAGCAGGAAAAGAGAGGACTCTGGAGGAGACGACGAAGGGACACGCAGCGGAGCAGTGGAAGGACGTAGAGACATCCGGTGCATACCGGGGACAGGAGGAGGACGCTCACGCGAACAACGACTACCAGTGCGAGCAGCACGGACAGGCGACGCAGGACGAGACGCATGCTCACGACGCTCAAGAAGACCTCCAGTAGGACCAGTATAGGGAGAAGGAGCAGGCAGAGTGGAGGCGGGTTGTAACTGTGACTCGGACAGGACAGGCGGTGGACACTCTAAGGGAGGAGCAGGACCAGTAGAGGGCGGAAGACCAAGAACCTGCTCAAGGAGCGGAACGAAGTACGGCCGCGGCCGCGTAGCGCCCCCAGAACAAGTAGGAACAGCACCAGCACCCCCAACGGCAGCACCAGCTCCAGCAGCACCCCCAGCTCCAGCAACGCCAACACCCCCAGCAGCTCCAGCTCCAGCCGGACCACCAGACGACGCAGCAACTCCAGCGCCAGCACCTCCAGCAGCACCTACTCCAGTAGCACCGCCAGCTCTAGCACCGCCAGCAGCTCCAGCACAAGGAGCACCCCCAGGCTCAGCAGCTCCAGTACCTCCAGTACGAGCACCTCCGGGACCCGTGGCACCAGCACCCTCAGCAGCAGGAGAACCTCCAACACCAGCAGAACCTCCAGCTCTAGCAGCACGGCTCCAGCGACGAGCAAACCACTCGCGCAGCTCCTGTGGAGAGAGGAGCTCCCGCCGGGACGAAGCACCCGAAGGACCTCCAGACCGAGTACCGCCAGACACCACACGAGCAGGCCCAGCACCCTCAGGCTCCGCACCCCCAGGCTCAGCACCCCAAGTCGCACCACCCCCAGAGTCTGCACCCCATAGCTCAGCATTCCCAGGCTTAGTACCCCCAGAGTCAGCACCCCCAGGCTCAGCACCCCCAGACCCCGCACCCGCATGCTCAGCACCCCTAGCAGCACTAGAGTCAACAACCACCTCGACAGGCTCGACTGCGTCTACCTGGGACACACCTGAGGGGGCAGGACCCTGAGGGGGGAGGGGGTCTACCGGGGGGGGACCAGGGGCAAGGAAGAGCGGCGGCGGGGAGAGGGGTGCAGTGCGGTAGGGGAAGAGACGGTAGTAGGAAACCAACTCGTCAAACATGACGTCCTGGGAGGACACAACACGGCGCGAGGTGGGGTGGTAAAATTGCCAACCCGTCGCGTTAGTTGGGAAGCCAAGGAAGACGCAGGGAACAGCACGAGGGGACAGCTTGTCCGCAGACAAGTCGCGAACAAACGCCCGAGATCCCCAAACACGGAACGCAGACGCATCGCCAACCTTCCCCGTCCACCGAAGAGCAGGGAAGGTCTCCGGCATGGAGACCCGGGGCTGAAGGTTGATCTGATGCGCCGTGTACTGAACCGCGAACGGATACAGAAAATGGGGAGCAGCCGCATGGATCATGGACGTACGAGCGACGTCCATGACCATGCCAATGCGGCGCTCAGCAATCCCATTTTGCTGTGGACAAGCCAGAAGCATGAATGTCTGGCAGATGCCTCGTGCACGACAGAAGGCTCGCAGAAGGTCAGAGGAAAACTCTCCGCCTCTGTCGGAGTGCAGACGCAGAACAGGAAAGTCCGAGCCGAAACTCTCTCTGAGCTGGAGACGAGCTGCGCGGATCCAGTCGATCAATACCTCAGTGACCTCACCCTTGCTGCGCAAGGGGAAGAATGTGGTGTAACGCGAGTAGTCGTCAACCACCAGCAGGAAGTAACGCTCGTGACCCTGTCCACGGACGCGGGCTGGGCCCCACACGTCCATTAGAAGCGTCTGCAGCGGAGCCTCTGTCGGAGGAAACTGGGAGGAGTGAGGAGCGGCGCGCTGCCGCCCCTCGACGCAGGGAACGCAGGTAGGGGCAGGCCCCGTAGGAAGGGGAGGGAGGGACCGGGGGAGACCAGAGACAAGGACACGGGAGGCCATGCCTCGGAGACGAGGCAGGGAGGGGTGACCAAGGCGGTGGTGTTACAGGAGAGTCTGGTGGGACAGGAGACGACACGAGCAGGGGGCAGATTCAGGACCAGACCTGGACGCTGCAGCAAACACCTGACCCGATGCGGCTACCTCACCAGACTTAGCGACTGGAGGAGACTCAGTAATCAGTGTGTACAGGCTCGACCCCGGCTGACGGGTAAACGTGGCCAAGTGTCGGCCCGTCCGAGCACACGTACAGTGGGTCACTCGCTGACTCGCTGGAGTGAATTGGTGAACCCCTCCATCCTGTAGGTCAGCACCCCTCACCAAGTTCGTAGAGAACGAGGGAAGGTAAAGACCTGACAGGGTGCCAGAAGGGGCCGCCGCTGACCACCACCGAAGCCGCCCCGTTGGGCAGAGCCACCCCGACCTCCTCCACCGCTGCTGCCACCACCTCCGCCACCGCCGCCACCGCCGCCTCCTCCGCTCCCACTGCCACCGCCGCCGCCGCCTCCGCCTCCACCGCCGCCACCGACGCCTCCAACCCCACCACCACTCCCACCGCCACCCCCACCTCCACCGCCACCTCCACCGCCACCTCAACCGCCCCCATCAGCTCCTCCAGTGCCCTTGCCCCCCTTGCCCTTGCCGGTGCCGCGTCTCCCGCTAGGGGCAGACGCAGCGCCGTCCGACTCGAGGCCAACGAGGTCGGCCGCAGCAGCAGAGGCAAGGGCACGAGGGGGGAGGGAGAACACCCCTCAAAGAAGGGGGTACGAGGGTCACCACGAGAGGCTCCTACAGCGACTATATTCTTCTCAGCTGCCAGGAGGCGCTCCTCAAGGAGGTCAACGGTGAGTGTGGTGGGGCAAACAGAGAGGAATTGGTCCTTGACCGAGCGAAGGGAGTCAGGGAGCCGGGTGACTATGTAGTAGAGGGTGATGTACATGGGGGGGGGGGGCGGTTCTTAGCGCAAAACTCAGCAGGAAGCGCAGCACGATAGCGGGTGTCACTAGTGCGAAGGTGCGTAATGAGTTCAGCGACTGTGGGAAAGGCGGCGAGGTCATGGAATAGGTACGGCATCATGAGGCGGCTAAGGACAGCAGTGGCAGGGGAAGAGAAGCGTGCAACTACAGCGTCGTACAAGGTCTTAGCACTCTTGTACTGACTAAAATGCGCACGCTCAGTGGTCGGTAAGTGACGACGCACAGCTAGACGGGCAGCAGCATTGCGGGTGGCCCACTGTGAGCAAACAGTGCTGTCAGCATCAGCAGCAGGGGCAGTAGAGGCACCAGACGTGAGGTCAAACAAGGAGAGACCGTCTGTCCTATCGCACTGTAGGAAAAGCTGGAGATCATCGACACAGACCACAAATTCGACAGCCCGACCCTCAGCATCAAAGGTAAGAACACGAGGGGTAGCCATGACAGCAGCGGCAGCAGAAGGCTAGCAGTGAGAGCAGCAGGTTAGGGGCAGCTCAGTGGCAGAAGCGCTGCTCGGGAGTGCTCTTACCAGGGCGGATGGGTAGAGGCCCGCAGGTGTGGGGGCAGGGCCGAGGCGCGCCGGCAGGGACAGGGCCGCGATAGGGCGGCAGCGGCGTCACTGTCAGCGGCGGCGGCGGCGGCTGCGGCCTCGGCAGCGGCGGCGGCGGCGGCTGTTGTCGACGGCGGCGGCGGCTGTGGTCCCGGCAGCGGCGGCGGCGGCTGTCACGGCAGCGGTGGAGGCTGCTGCTCCTGTCGCCGGCGGCGGCGGCTGTGGCAGGGCCGTGAAGGGGCCAAGAGAGGCGGCGACAGGGCCGAGAGGGGCCGCGAAGGGGCCGGGAGGAGGCCGCGAAGGGCCGTGAAGGGGCCGCGAAGGGCGGCGTCGGGGCCAGGAAGGGGCCGCGAGGGGCCGAGAGGGGCGGCGACGAGGCCGCGAAGGGCAGCGACGGGGCCGCAAAGGGGTCGCGAGGGGCCGAGAGGGGCGGCGACGGGGCCGCGAAGGGCGGCGACGGGGCCGCGAAGGGGCTGCGAGGGGCCGAGAGGGGCCGCGAAGGGCCGCGAAGGGCGGCGACGGGGCCGCGACTGGCGGCGACGGGGCCGCGAAGGGCGGCGACGGGGCCGCTAAGGGCGGCGACGGGGCCGCTAAGGGCGGCGACGGGGCCGCTAAGGGCTGCGAAGGGGCCGCGAGAAGGGCCGCTAAGAGGGCTCGACGGGCCGCTAAGGGCAGGGGACACGACGGGAGGGCGGCACACGGGGCGCGCCTCGGGCAGGGGCGGCACACAGGGCGCGCCTCCGGGCAGGAATTTTTTTTTTTTTTTTTTTTTTTTTTTTTTTTTTTTTTTTTTTCGATTTTGGTGGGCCCTAGGAATAGTTTCCACTACGGAACCTGCTCTATACCATGAGAAGAAATGAGCAATGGAAATGACTAGGTGAAATGTGGGTACAAGTAGGAAACCTAGAAATGTTGTACCCTATAGCATCTACCCCAGTACAGCCTAGATAGACCATAGCATATAAACTTGACAGCTGCTGCCCGTCTTGCCATTCGCAGTCACTTGCCGTCTGCTGAGCGCGCGCACTTTAGCCAGAACAAGACCGCTAGGACTCTGTACAACGCAGTTGTTACGCGCTACTCCTCCCCTGCCACCGCTGCCCTTAGCCGCCTCATGCTGCCGTACATGTTCCCTGACCTAGCTACTTTTGCTACAGTCGCTGACCTCATTACGCACCTCCGCACTAGTGACACCCGCTACCGCGCTGCGCTTCCTGCTGAGTTCTGCGCTGCAACCCCCCCCCCTATGTACATCACCCTCTACTGTTAAAGTTTAGAAAAGAGAAGAGGATTGCACTAGCAAGAATGGGGATACAAATAGCAAACCCTAGAAGGGTTGTAATCGCTATAGAGCACCCCACTACAGGCTAGAGCATAAGATAACATTCTGACATCTACTACCTAGTCATACGGCTCCCTGACTCCCTTCGCTCGGTCAGGGACCACTTCCTCTCCCTTTGCCCCACCACGCTCACCATGCTCGAGGAGCGCCTCCTGGCAATAGAGAAGAGCATAGTCGCTGTAGGAGCCTCTCGTGGTGACCCTTGTGCCCCTTTCTTTGAGGGGTGCTCCCCAGTCCCTCTTTTGCCCTCTGATGCCTCTGCTGTTGCTGTCGACCTTGTTGGCACCGAGTCGGTCGGCACTGCGTCTGCTCCCAGTGGGAGGCGCCACAGCGGCACGTGCAAGGGAGGCAAGGGTACTGGAGGGGATGGCGGGGGCGGTGGTGGTGGTGGTGGTGGCGGTGGAGGGGGTGGGGGTGGAGGTGGGGGTGGTGGCGGTGGAGGCGGTGGCGGCAGCGGCGGTTGGGGTGGAGGCGGCGGCGGCGGCGGCGGTGGGGGTGGCGGCGGTGGTGGTGCTGGTCGGGGTGGAGCTGTGCAGCGCGGTGGCTCTGGTGGTGGTCAGCGCCAGCAGCAGCAGCGCCCTCGTGAGACCCTGTCGCCCCAGCAGCTTCGTAAGTGGTACGCTGGGCGTGGGAGGTCTGGGGGTGCTGGTCCTTGTGCTTACGTTCTCCGCACCGGCGAGCGCAGTGGGGAGACGTGCGGAGGGCCGCTCCACGCCACGCACCGCTGTTTCGGTCGCCTGACTAACACTTGGCGTGCACAGTTTCCTGACGCCACGGAGCTTCCTCGCTGCGGTGATCTGTTTAGGTCCAGGGTTCCTATCTTTGATCTTGACTATGATGCTATCCTTGCTGCTATGTATGCTGTGACTATAAGTGCTGAGGGTGACTGCTACCTGTGTGTTCCGCCAGACCTGAGCATTGGGGCTGCTGCTCTAGGTGCTAGTGAGTCGGCTGATCCAGGTGCTAGTGAGTCTGCTGCTCCAGGTACTCGTGCGTCTGCTGCTCCAAGTGCTAGTGAGTCTTCTCTCTCAGGATCCGCGTAGAGTCAGGTCTTGCACACTTTCACTCTTGACTCGATTGCTTCCCGCTCCTTCTATCGCAACTGCACCACACTCACGCCGCTCAGTCGGCCAGTGGCGGTCTCCCTGGCTGACCCCTCTGGGTGTCCTGTCCTTGCACACTCCTCCACGGTTCTGCCGTGTCCGGCGGTCCCGTCTGGCTCCCTGTCAGGTCTCCACCTCCCCTCATTCTCCACAAACTTGGTGAGTGGAGCTGACCTTCAGGAAGAGTGGAGGTGCTCGTACTGGGGGTACTGGAGCTGCTGGGCCTGGTGGTGCCACTGGTGCTAGCACTACTGGTGGTGCTCCTGGTGCTGCTGGACTTGCTGGAGCTGTTGGTGGCGCTGCTGGCACTGCTGGTGGTGCCGCTGGAGTTGGAGCTGCCACTGGTGCTGGAGCTGCTCGAGGTGCTGCTGGAGCTGCGGGTGGTGCGTCTGGAGCTGCTGGCACTGCTGGTGGTGCTGCTGGATTTGGAGCTGGCACTGGGCGTACTGGTGCTGTTCCTGCTGGTTCTAGGGGTGCTGAGTGGCCACGACCGTACTTCGTTCCGCTCCTTGAGCAGGTTCTTGGTCTCCCGCCTTCTACTGGTCCTGCTCCTTCCTTAGAGTGTCCACAGCCTGTCCAGCCCGAGTCACAGTTACAGCCGTCCTCCCCACTGCCTGCTCCTTCTCCTTACACTGGTCCAACTGGAGGTCTTGCTGAGCGTTGTGAGCCTGCGTCTCGTCCTGCGTCGCCTGTTCGTGCTGCTTGCCCTAGTCATCGTGCTTCACGTCAGCGTCCTCCTCCTGTCCCTGGCACGCACCGGATGACTCTGCGTCCTTCCACTGCTCCGCAGCATGTCCTTCTGCCGTCTCCTCCTGAGTCCTCTCTTCTAGCCCTTGCTGACCCGGAGTCTGACTCCCTTCGTGCTGCTAGTCCTACTGTCACGCGTCTCCTATCCACAGTTGTCATTGACCCTTCTTTTGAGTCTGCTGCTGCGTCTGCTCTTGTTGCTGAGCTTGTCGACTTTGCTGCTCGCTGTCGTCTAGACTACGCTACTAGTCTTGTTGCTGAGTCTGCGTCTGTCTGTCCTCCGTCCGTCGGGGGTGAGTGTGCTCTTGGCACGGACGTCCTTGAGGACAGGCAGGAAGAGTTCCAGTGTTTGGTTGCTGCTTCACCTCATCTCGTGTCCATGCTGCTTGCCCCTGAGGGAGACCCGGATGCACTAGACATCCCGACTCCGCGCTCTTACGCAGAGGCGGTTGAGGGTCCCTACTCCTCTCAGTGGCAGGCAACCATGGACGCAGAGATGTCGTCCTGGAAGTCCACAGGCACCTACGTCGACGAGGTTCCCCCACCTGGGGCGAACATTGTCGATGGCATGTGGATCTTCAGGGTGAAGCGGCCGCCGGGTTCTCCGCCTGTCTTCAAGGCGCGTTACGTGGCTCATGGCTTCAGTCAGCGGCAAGGAGTTGACTACTTTCAGACCTTCTCTCCCACCCCAAAGAGACTGGAGCACAGAACGAAGCACATCGCTCTTCGCTACTTTCTTGCTCGAGAGCTGTAGCAGCGTGGTCAGCTTCGTCTTGTCTACGTGGCCTCTCAGGCCAACACTGCTGATATCTTCACCAAGGCACTTCAGCCTTGTGATCATCAGCGGTTCTGTACTGTCTTAGGGCTTGTTCCCACTTTGCCTCACTTGCTCACTTCTTGACGTTACTTGTCCTGTGATCTCTATATATACCTGCCTGCTTACACTTGCTAGGTTGTGATCACTGTCTTGCTTGTTCACCTTGATTTATAATCCTGCATGTTAACTGGCCTTTTGGCCTCTTGCTTGTGCTCAGAATGTGTGGTGACGTCGTGATCCACCCTGAGCTTGCTTTGCTCCTCTAAACTGGTCTTGTGACCTCTTGTTCTCCCCCACTTTGCCTATAGGGGTGTGTCAAAACTTATTTGCTGTAGTCTTTGTAGGCTATAGTGGGGTAGATACTATGGGGTACAACACTTTTAGGTTTCCTACTTGTACCCACTTGTTTCCTAGTCAATTCATTCCTCGCTAGTTTTCTCACAAGCTTGCCCAACACCCCTGCCATGGCCGAATTCACTCTCGCGACACTAACGCAAGAGCAGTTCGACCGTCTCGTGCGCTAAGTTGAGGAGTCGGCACTCGAAATTGCGACGTGTGAAAGTTAGAAGAGAGAAGAGGAATTGACTAGCAGCAGTTGGGATACATATAGCAAACCCTAACAGGGTTGTACTCGCTATAGAGCACCCCACTATAGGCTAGATAAGAACATTCTGACACACCCCCATAGCCAAAGTGGGGTGTAATCAGCAGAGCAAGCAGGCACAGAACAAGCTCAGGGTGGATCACAATGTCACCACACATTCTGAGCACAAGTTCAAGAAGCAATAGTTTAAGGTTCACAATTATGAGCAAAGCTAGTGGTAGTCACAACGGGCAAGTGAGGAGGAGGAGAGAGAGTGAGGGGAGCGGAGATAGGAGGCGACAGCTGAAGCTGCAGACACACGGGCAAGAGGAGGCACACTGGCACAGCGGCTACCGGAACAACGCTCCGGAATACTGGAGTAACTGGCCCCGCGGCTAAAGTAGCGGCAGACGAGCAACGGACCCACGGGCGGCTGGCACAGCTGGCTACGACTGGGCTACCAGAGCAACTCCCCGGAATACAGGTGCTGCTGGCGACACAACGGCAACCTCCATACAGCTTCCCCACACTATCCCACTCCCCCTAACACGCACCCGCTGCTACACCGCTAGCTCCACTCCCACGCACCCCCCTTAAACCCTAAACCCTAGTCTCCCACTCATCCACCCCCCTCAGCGACAGCTGCAGCAGTGGGAGACGAAGGAGGAGGAGGAGCAAAGGGAGGAATGCACAACTGCTACCCCCATACTCGCCACCCCCTACTCGCCACCCCCATACCCTGAGTGTGCGGTAAGCGAGCTCACGTGTGCGCGAAGCGTGCACAAGTGTGCGGGAAGCGAACTCGAGTGTGTGGTAAGCAAACGCAGGTGTGCGGGGAGGGGGGGCCGCAGGGCGACACGCGGGTCGACGGGGATGGGCGCACGGGTCGCCAGGGGCGGCGCGCGGGTCGACGGGGCCGCCGCGAAGGGCGACGGGGAGCCGCGCGCGGGTCGACGGGGCCGCCGCGAAGGGCGACATGGAGCCGCGCGCAGGTCGACGGAGACGGGCGCACGGGTCGACGGAACGCGAAACCGCCGCGTGCGCCCAGGGTGCGCGGTGGGCAGGAAACCGCCATAAATTCCGAGTGCATGGCGGGCAGAAAACCGCCGCGCGAAGCAGGAACCCGCCGCGCGCCTCGGGGCGCATGGCGGGCCGAAAACCGCCGCGCGCCTCGGGGCGCACGGCGGGAATAAAAAGTGCCGCACGCCACGGGGCGTGCGGCTCAGAGTGTAGTGGTAGGAGTTGCAGCGGAAGCTAGGAGGTGGTAAGCCCACCCACAGGATCGATCCAAGGGGATCGACCTGCTCTGATAGCATGTGAAAGTTAGAAGAGAGAAGAGGAATTGACTAGCAGCAGTTGGGATACATATAGCAAACCCTAAAAGGGTTGTACTCGCTATAGAGCACCCCACTACAGGCTAGATAAGAACATTCTGACACGACGCTCACGGCGGAATGTGATTCCGCGCGTCAGCAATCCACGGTGAATACTCCAGCGCCACCACACGCACCTGCAAATGCACCTGCACAATCAGAGGAGCCGATCATCATTTCATCAGGCACACCGACACAGAATGAGAGCGTGGGACAGCGCTCATGCGCAGCCAATGATGGCGCCGCCCACTCGATGCCGGGCATGGAAAGGAACAGGGTCGTGCCAAGCCCGCGGGAGCCTCGTGAAGCCCGTCGGCACATGGAATTTCCGGCGACAAGCGGCGACCACGCCATCATGGCGCCAATGCCACTCAAGTCCGCAGCGCCCGCCCTGTTCCAACCCGAGTCAGCGTGGAGGTCCGACGGTTCAATCGTGGGTCTTCACGATGAACGTATTTTTCGACGCAAACTACGTCGATTCGGACGCAGCGAAGATCAGATACGCCATCTCGCTGCTGAGGGGCCCTGCCATGGACTAGTGGCGAGTCATCGTGAGGTTGCCATGCGCCTCCGAGCCACCGTCGCAAGAGGAAGGGCCCACGGGTCCAGCCGTGCAAAATCGCCCAGTACAGCACGTGGGATTCGTGGTGCGCAGGGCTTCGGGCGCACTTCGAGCCGATCGCGGCTTCTATTTCGGCGCACCAGAGACTGCGTACTTGGCGGTAGCTCGGGCCGGTTCAAGACTACACGAGCGGTTTTCTCGCATTATGCGAGCAAGTCGGCTATATGCACGAAGCAGAGCGGGTGGACCGTTACGTCGGAGGGTTGAAGCCGGACATTTCGCACAAAATCATGCTACGCGGACTCTCGAATTTCAACGAGATTCTCGCGCTCGCCGAGAAAATCGACATTTTGGGCCGTCCGAGACCGGAGTCCTAGTACGGACATCACCCTCGAGGACCGATCGAGCACGCCACCGTACATGTCGTTGCGATAAATGCAGCTGCCGCGCCATTTAAGGGGTGCTGCTTTGCTTGCAACAGGCCGGGCCATCGCAAGAGTGAGTGCCCAGAGGAGCTAAGGCGTCGCAGAGCAGAGCAGAGGAGGGAGTCTCCAAGGCACGGAAACGCCAGTAGTCAGTAGGAATCGGGCCAACTAGTGACGAGACTGCCTACTCGCCCAACCCCACCGACCCTTACCGAGTCACGGTACCGATTCATGCTATCGATCGGGCTCGGACGAATAAGGAGGGAGCAGCGACGGATTACCCAGTACGGATCCACGGGAAAATACAAGAACCAGCAGTGAAGATTTTTATCGACGGAGGAGCAAGTCACAGTTTAGTTAATATCGCAACCGCACAGAAACTGCAACTGACACTTAGCCGGTGTTTACCAAAGATAGATGCACGCTTAGTTGA